CCTAAACCCTAAACCGCGGTGTGGGCGCTGGAGCTGAGTAGACTCATCTCGGGGGCTTGGCTACGGGACCGTAGCTAATGGTTATCTGCGATGGATTGGTTGAGGAGAAAAGGTCCCATAAAAACCTTAAACCCTACTATAGTATATCATAGTATAATGCTATACATGAATATATATATATATCTATTGGTATGTTCTGGTATATTATGGTATACCCATTCCATGTTTCCTTACTAAGTTGGAGCACGAGGAGATGTCGGCGCCTCCTTTGATAGAGCATCCCTTTTTTCGGAGCTGGGTGCTCAGTGAAGGCATCAGGCGGCTTTCAAAGCTTGGGGCGATCATGATGTGAGCTATAGTCTTAACTGCTTAAAGGGGGTTATATGGGGGATTATACAGGGTATTCTACAGGGGAGTACTATAGGGGTTATTAAGGGGGATACTAGGAGTTTAGACTAGAGCTCATGTGCTTGCTTGGAATTTTTACAGACTTTGGTGCATACGAACAAACCTGCAGGACCCTAAGCGCCTCTTGCCTTGGGAATTATGCTGCTAAACCCTAACCCCTGAACCCCGTAGTACAGTAAGGTTACACAGGGTTTTTCATATGAACAGCAGTGAATAGCTGTGCCGGCAGGTTAAACCTGAGGGGGAAAGGTGGGCTGCTGATCTAGCAGTAATTAATATCGTGTCATATAGGGAATATATAGGGATTATACAGGGTCATGTGGGGATAACGGACAAGAAAATGGAACCCTACTGCAGCTTCTCCCTAAGTTCCCCTGCGTGTGAATCCATCTCTTTGGCTATGAGTACCAAGTCCAAGACGGAGAATGGTTTGGGGTTTAGGGTTCAGGGTTTAGAGTTTCGGGGTTTAGAGTTTAGGGTTCAGGGCTTATCTAGGGATGTACCCGCATGGGAGTCTATCAACATCATGCCTCTAGACTCCCGACTCCCAAGAGGAATTCCCCATGATCCTTCTTGCAATTCCATACAAGTCTTGGGTGCCCCCATTGCTAAGCTAGACCCCCCCCCCTCCCCCATATGCTGCTCTCTATGGCAACGCCAACCCACACCCAGGGCAATCACCGAAACGATGCATGAGAAGCCTTGCATGGCTAAAATGGCTAGTTGTCAAAGGTGTGGAAACCCTCAACTCTTAGGGAAGGCTGATCAGATGCAACTCTCATCTACTCTTAGTACAGCACCCTAAGTCTTTGGCCGTAAGAAGCTCGCTGCTCTTTGTGCCACTGTCCCTAGTACCTGCTTGAAGAGTATGAGGAGTTTCTACAGGATTTGCGAGGGATTTCATGGAGTAAATGGGGCTTTTAAGGATCATACTGGGTCATGCTCGCGGTTTACAGATTACGCGAGGGTAATGTGATTTTACTTTGTTTGCACTGAGGCTTTCGCCACAAGCACCCGAAGCTTCTGAACCAGCTCTGTTGCGAGGCGCTTTGGAGTCGGAGTAGTACATTTTAACATTTTGTAACAAGGTGGCACTGTGGGATAGTTCATAATTTCCTAATTTCCGTTATTGTGATAGAGAACCTATCCAAAAATACTTTTTGGGGCTTGTGAGGTACGACCTATTACTAGACAGGAATCAGAAATCTCAGTGTTTGAGACGTGAATGAGCCAGCCTTTTTGCTACAGCTTCATATCCTCAGCTTCCTAGACCCTAAACCCTAAACCCTAAACCCTAAACCGTAAACTGCTGTGCCGTTGAAGGCCCTGGTTCCTGTTTTCCACTCCGCTCCGGAAGTGGCGGGGAGCCCACAGCGTCAACCATAGGGGTTTAGGGTTTAGGGTTTAGGGTTTAGGGAATTGGGGACTGCATCTAGGGATTGCGCGGAGGCTATATGCTGCGGGTCTTTCCATATTTTCAAAAGTTGTTTGCAGGACATAGAATACCCCTACATAGCCCCTATAACATAGTAGTTCCCATTTTATTTTCCATTCTCCCAATAACAGTCATCAATATAATGGGAACCATGGTTCTGAGACAGGGAACATGATACAAGAATTATATGGGGATAATGGAAAAGAAAATGGAAACTACTAGATCATAATGCGGTATATAATGGGGTTATATAGGGGCTATAGAACTGTGCATGGCATGCGACCTGCAGTGTTTGAGGTCTTCACCGTCGGCGAATCTTGCTCCATGATGTGAGCCCATGGGCCATATGCGTGAGTTTCTCTAGTTGGGTCTGCTAGAAACAACACTCACCCTGACAAGTCCTGTATTTGCAGATCTTCAAATCAAGGGCCCTGATATATTGTGAATGGGTAGGGCGACCCCAACGTTCAGAAATATACATGCGTAGAGCTGCAGTATGGTGGCAAACTCCGGTTTAGGCTGGGGAAGCCATGCTCAAAAAGAGACAGAAGTAGGAATGTTTTTACGGAGAGTGATGACATGCCATGCCATACTAGTCATGCCATTCAACGCCTACGCTGCCAAAGCCCCTATATACCCCAAAAAATACCCTAAAACCTAAATATCCTACGCCTAAACCCTAAACCCTAAACCCTAAACCCTAAACCCAACCCCCCAAACGGAAGCGCCTTCAGCTCCTAAACCCCCTAAGCGCTGTATGAGCCACAGTCTAAACTCCCCCTTATGTAGAATATGGGTCCCTTTAAAGGGGTTATATAGGGATTATATGGGGATAACGGAAAAGAAAATGGAAACTACTATTTAGGGTTTAGAGTTTGGGGTATATAGTCCCCCTTAAGGAGATAGAATATGGGGTATATGGGGATCATATTATAATATACCCAAAACCATATTCTATCTACTTAAGGGGGACTATAAACTTCTAGTATCCCCCTTGATAAGCGCTATAACGGTTCACTATATGGGTGGTTGTCAAAATTATGGGCCCTTTTTGGGTACCCTAAATATTAGGTGGCGTATTATAATAGGGAACCCAAAAGGGACCATAATTTTGACAACCACCTATAGAATCCCCTGTAATTACAGCCCCCTTGAAGGAGTTTAGATTATAGCCCTTAGAGTGTCCCTCAGCCCTGAGACTCCTGGGCCCCTGCTTCCGGCCAGTCATCCTGAAATATGCATTGAGAAACCCTGACTGACAATCCCTTACATAATCCGTTAAACTCCCGAAAAATCCTTAATAAGCCTTGGTAATCTACTCCCCAACACTCCTCAATACGCGCTCGGAAGACGTAACGATCCCCATAAAAGCCTTGACTTGCGGGGCCCTAAACCCTAAACACCAAGACCCTAAACCCTAAACCCTAAACCCTGAACCCAAATCCAGGTACGTCATCATCAATGGCCAAGCGCAGTATGCTGCGCAGCTGCCACCTCCCAGGGACCTCCCAAGCTTTCAGGGTTCCAGGTTTGAGGCTAAGGTTTAGGGTTTAGGGTTTAGGGTTTAGGTCCATTTAAAGTTCTTTAGGGGGCGAATAGAAAAGGCCATCAAAATGGAAGCTACTTCGTCATTTAAGGGGCTACGGTGGACATTTTGGAACGGCCAAGAAAATCGAAACTACCATATATCTCAGTGTTTACGGCTTAGTTGTCAATGGATACGATCAGGGAAAACTACTGCATGATTTTATTAATGATGTCATGACTCAGGGTTTAGGTAGGGCTAGCTGGGAATGCGGGAATGAGACTTGTGGATTGTTTTTAGGAACTGTAACAAGCGAGACTATGTAGGGACGACAGCAGGGATCCATCCCCAATTCCGAACTAGGCAGGAGTATAGTCCCCCTTAAGTAGATAGAATATGGGTTATATGGGGATATTGTTATGATATACCCAAAGCCATATTCTATCTACTTAAGGGGAACTACAGGCTTGAAGAATTTTGAAGGGATCGCGTAATTTAAGGTCTGGGTTCAGAAGTTGCGTAGCCTTGGAGTCGCATGAGTCTACACGGGGCACCTATGTTTGGAGGTTTAGGGAGTTAGGGTTTAGGGAGTTAGGGGTAAGGGTTTAGGGTTTAGGGGCTGAAGGTTTGGCCATTGGGTTTTTGAAGCCCTTACGCTTTTGGACTTAGAGGTGCTTCTTGGAGCAACTAGCAGTGTGCCCACCTGCAACGTTACAGCGGGATTGCATATGATTTGACAAACAGCCGTGGTTTGCGCGTAGGATTACGTGAGCACTCGATGTCTCTTCATGGTTGTCCCTTTGGTATCCTTTGGTGGAAGTGATGCTTGTGCTGCCTTCATTCGCGGAGCGAATTTTCTGGTACGAGTACGGGAGGGAGAGTTGCATGCAGATCAGCTGCGAAAGGATTTTCCAGCTAGACAGGTGTTTGGCTGGTATCGTTGCGCCTGGGATATGTACCACAGTTGAAGCGGATGCAAGACAGATGATGTAGACACATCACTGCTTGCTTTGCCGCAGAAGTCAGAGACGGGACGTATCCTAAACTATGCCGCAGGCTCGGGCAACGCCTGTCCTGCTCAGTTGCCATGTTGGAAGTGGTGGTCAGTAGGGAATAAGGGAATCTGTTATATACGGATAGTATAGGAAATACATTCCTTTCATTGCCCATTTACCGTTCTTTAAGTAAAAAGGAGTTACCGCGATCATGCAATGTCGTTTCTGGCAGGATTCTCCGGCCGGAACTCCTGGCACGCAGGCACGGCCAAATCTTCTAACACTAGGGTTGAGGCTTCAGGGTCTTCTGATGGATGATAGGAGGGCTGGCAGAGGAGCCCTGTTAGCAGCAGACTCGTTTGGTTACCTGAATCCTTCAGAGAATACCCAGATGGTCGTTTATCGCAGAGGGTGATGATGGCACACCCAGTCGTCTGAGACCAACTGATACAGGGGGGGATTATCATAAGGGGGTTAAGGGCGTAGCTGAGGTTATACAATGTGGTTTATAGAGATTGCGTACGGAGGTTCTGGGGCTTATATGATGTACCCTAAAATCTAAACCGTAAACCCTACACCAAACCCTAACCCTACACCGGGTGCATCTAGGTGGGTTTATACGGGTTGATATCCCATCAAGACAGGAGCCCTAAAAGCCGTTTAGGGTTCAGTCTTTAGAGTTTAGGGTTTAGAGTTTAGAGTTTAGGGCTTAGAGTTTAGGGTTTAGAGTTTAGAGTTTAGGGCTTAGAGTTTAGGGTTTAGGGTTTAGGTCTCGCCCTTAAACCTTCATTCTTTAGCAAGCCTCTAGTTCGAGACCATACTCCCTGAAACCCCAAAGGAAAGTTCCCTAGATCTCCAAATCCCTGAACCGCCAAGGCCGTAATTGAGTAGTAGGTAGTAGTCTTCAAGGTGGTACTGTCGTCCCCAATTCAGTCTAAGATTACATCATCCATCCGGATATAGTACTTCACAAAGAGGAACCCAACAACCCTGAACCCTGAACCCTAAACCCTGCTCGGTTCAACTACCCAAGAACCCTTCTCGGTCGAGCAGGTCAGGAAGATGCTGCAGAGCGGCCGGCCCTGCACTTTTCACCAGAGAGAGAGACTGTACTGTCCTTCGGAATTATCTTTAGTCTTTAGGGTTTAGGGTTTAGGGAATTATTCTTCATATTTTTTTATAGTATAAATCTGAGGATATATTGAGTTAAGAAATATTAGAAAGATATAGAAAGATTATTCTTGTTTTAGGTAAAAGGAGATTCCAGGAGAGAGAGAAGCTTAGGATTTAGGGTTTTGGGTCGAGGATTTAGGGTCAAGGATTTGGGGATTAGGTGTTTTGGGTAGTGTAGGCAGTGAGGGACTAGGATTTAGGGGTTGCGAGATGATTAGGTCTTAGTATTTGGGGGTTCAGGTTGACACGGACTACGCTATTCAAGTTTTCGGGTTCGAGTTTGGAGTTTGAAGGCTTGGGTCTGATTAGGAAGGAGAACCAGCGCGGCCGAAATTTGCTGCAGCCATCCCCGGCTTGGTCCATAGGGCGCGGCTTAGGGCCTCTTAGGGCTTATAGGGTTTAGGGTTTAGGGGCTATAACCCTAAACCCTAAACCCTATGTTCTGTGGTACCACTGTATTATGCACTCCCAGATCTTAAGCTGAGCAAGGCTCCCACCCTGTGAAACCTGAGGCAGGTCAGGAGCTCAAGTCTAGGGTCCAGGATTTTGCTTTGTGGTGTTTAAAGCCACAGACGCCAAATCAGAGAGCTTCAATCTTAAAGCTTAAGTTCTGAAGCGTAGATCCTGAACTCTAAGCCACAAACCCTTTTGCCTCATTGTCATCTTACCCTGAATCCTAAATCCTGAGACCTACATCCCGCAACAATAATTCCTAAAGCCCAAGCTCTAGCCCTAAAGCCTACATCCCAAGCTCTACAAATCCAAACCCACCTAACATAGAAGCCTGAACAATTGCCAATATCTTTCCCCAGCAAGTTTTGTAGAGCTATGCTATAGCATATTCTCAAACCTTATTCTATTTCTGACACTAACCCTAAACCCCAAAACTTTGAGCCTTAAACCCAAAACCCCAAACCCTGAACCCTAAACCCTAAACCCTAACTAGTTGCTTGAGCCAGGTCAATGGCTTAGTGAAGCGGCCCTTTGGACTGGCTGGGTGCGCAGCGTCGCAGAGACCCAGGGATCATTACCATTTTTAGGGTTAAGGGTTTAGAAAGAGGCCACAGGAAGAGGTTGGGGCGAGTTCCTTACCTCGACCGTCCAATGTAGTACCGATTTGGGGGTCCTAAGTCAAACTCCTACCCGCCAAGCCCATACTAAAACCAAACACTTATTACATTGGAGGGTCCAGGTAACTTTAAGACTCCTAACCCTGAACCCCCAAACCCCAAACCATCAGCCAGGTACACCGCGGAGAGCTGCGAACGCTCTGCGACTGTAGCCTCCTCTGCGTTTCCCTGGGCATTATCATAGGGCATATATGCACACATATATATATATATATGTATATCGGAGGGTTTCTATACTATGGGGCTTATAGGGCCTAGGTGTATGGATATTACCCCACTAATAGGGAGTAAAACTTGGAAAAGGACGCGAACACTGAAATGGACACAGTATTTGCATATTCTCAAGCGCCTTGGAGTTTCGGATGTAGGCGGCAGGGCTTACTGTTTAGTGTACAGGATGGGTTCAGGGTGAAGGATGTTGAATTTCAGTTCTACGATTTTATGTTCGAGAGTTATTATACAACATTTTTTACAGCGATGTAGAAAATGTTGAATTTCAGTTGTACGATTTTATGTTCGACTTTTGAGGTGTTGGGTTCCGAGAGGGGTTGGATCCGCTGGTGGCGGAGGGGAGGGTCTGGGTGTCAGTTTTCGGAAGTAACAGCAGTATAGGAAGAGCCTTGATCATTATTTGTCTCAACGAGAAGAAACATGCTTTATTTCACGGGCAGGAAGCACACTCAAGCTACGAGCCTTTATCCTGCAGTTCCTTGTTTGATTTGCTGCCCGTATAGAAGACATGGGTGTTTCGCAAAATGCCCTGACCCCCTAAACTCATAGCCCAAGATCCCGACATGATGGGGGAAATGCTTGTATATTGTAGAGTACTCTCGTACGGGATACCGAGTGAATGGAGCTGTTTGGCTTCTCCTTTCTTGCCTTCCTGGATGAGGAAAAACAACCTTGGCTGATAGATGTCAAAGAGCTTACAGGACAACCCGCGTTTACCGGCTTAGCCAGAAAGGAGGGCCCATAGCCAAGACACCCTCGGGTTTGGGTTTCAGGCTTTGGGGTTTAGGGCTCTCGAGGTTTGACGTTTAGGGTGGTATTTTCTCCTGAGGAGCCAGAATCCTAAACCCCCTGCCAAACACCAATGTTTCCTTCCTCACGAACCTTACCCTCCTCCTAACTAACACGGAAGCCCAAAAGGGGCCCTGCAAGATTTCTCTGCTTGGAAGGATTCGTCTTGATGGATTCTTAGGTTAGTTTGGTGGAGGGAGCCCAATCCCAACCCTAAACAATACACATCCTGATATATCCCTATGTACCCCTACGTATCCCAATGCATCCCACCCCCAAACCCTAAACCATAAACCCTTACCCTCAATAAAACTAAGCCCGAAACCCCAAGCCCTTTCGCAAACAAACCCTAAACCCTAAACCTTAAACCCGAAACCCTAAACCTTAAACCCTAAACCCTAAACCCTAAACCTTAAACCCTAAACCCTAAAGCTGTGAGCTCCTGCCTGAGGTTTGTTCTTTGGGCTTGAAGCCGGCAGGTTTGCCAGGCTTGCTGGCTGAGCCTGCGTTGCTGTTAAGGAACTCAAATTAAGTTACCATAATAATGGGTATATATAGGGATAATGGAAAAGAAAATGGAAACTACTATAATGGGGTTATATATGGTTT